TTTTCGATGAATTGATTATCGATATGATATAAGAGTCTTTGATTGGCAGGTTGTTGAGTTATAGTGACGTACAGGTACAGTTGAAGTAGTGGCGGAGCCAGAAATTTGAATGAGGGGGAAAAACTTGAATTGTGGTAATTGAGGGAGGGGAGGCTAAAGCCTTATCGACTATTTTAATTTTTAAATATTTGTAAAATTTATATGTAATTTTACCTATATTTCAAAGTTTAGGGGGGAGGGAGCTACAACCCCTCCTGATTTCAACCTAGCTCCACTTTAGCTCCTTGGGCATACTGTGTATGTTAGTTATGTAGTTTTTTATAGGCCCATGCTCATGCACAAGGGGAATCGGCAGAAACCTAGCTTGTGAGTCTATATATTTGTAGTTTTGTACCTTGTAAATTGACAGAAATCAACAGAATAATATGATCCTAAACTTCTTTCATGGAATAGTCTAGCCTCGAATCATGATCCCCAAACGAATCATTAGTAAGAAAAGTTGTATGAATATCCTGCAAATAGAAAAGTTGTATGAATATCCAACCTGAGTGCCTTCACTACGCCTGCACTCACCACATTGGTGCAGCTACCTCCATCCACAACCAAGGACAGCAGCTCCCCCTTCACCTTACACCGAGTATGGAAAAGGTTCTCTCTCTGCTCCAGTTCACTCTGAGGTTGTGCAGTTAACACCCTCCTAGTAACACAACTCCGGATCATGCCTCCTTTAGGTGGCTCCATCTCTATGGACTCATCCACTTCCGACTCCGGTGAACCAACTACATCGTCTCCGTCATCTTCTTCCTCAGATACATACTCTCCATTGTCCAAGAGAATCAATGTTTTCTTCATGGGACATTGCCTAGCCACATGTCCTCTTCCATGGCAGTTAAAACATTGAATGCCCACGGATGATCCACCTTGCTTCACATTGCTACTAGATCCTTCCACCTTGGCAGCATGTTTCGGACCTTCCTTGAAAGGTAGGCTTGGCCTAGAATTATTGGCAGCACTCGGCATAGGTCGTGGAGTAGAGTTAAAAGGTTGAATTCGTCGAGTTCTTTGCTGCCTCTCCACCTTAGCCGCCATAGCTAGCAACTCCTCCAGTTCAATGACGGATTGTATCTCTATCACATTTCGAATGTCTTTATTGAGACCTTGCAGAAAACGAGCAATGGTGGCCTCCATGTCTTCATTCACATCGGCACGGATCATTAAGGTCTCCATCTCTTGATAATAATCTTCCACACTCCTTGTGCCTTGCCGGAGAAGTTGTAAATTCTAGTGCATCTCCCTTTGATGATAGCTAGGCACAAACCTCTCTCTCATAATGCTTCTCATCTCGTACCAAGTCTCAATAGGTCGTTGCCTGTTTCTTCTTCTCTTGGTATTCAACTGATCCCACCAAATAAGAGCATACTCCGAGAATTCTAGGGCAGCAAGCATCACCTTCTTCTTCTCGGAATAATGGTGACAATCAAAAATCAGCTCCACCTTCCTCTCCCAATCAAGGTAGTGGTCAGGGTTTGTAGTACCACGAAAAGGAGGAATGGAAATCTTCAAATTTCGAAAATCTTCTTCTTCTTCTTGCTTGAACTCACCCTCATCTTCCTCAAACCCCTCGAACCCCTCATTACGAAGAGGTCTTCGTTCTCTCCTTACTGCTCGCGGCATTCCCCCCCCCCTTCTGTTTGCTTGGTGTCGTTGCACTTCATGGAACAATGGTGGGGATGCTCGATTTTCTCTTCTGTCTTCTCGTTGAACTCTAGGTTGCGGGTTTGCTTCCACTTGAAATTGTGGTTGAGGTTCTTGAAGTCGAGCTTCAATAGCTGCCATCCTCTCATTGTTCTCGGCACTTTGGATTTCTAGGGCTTGCAGAAGTTGCCCCAATTGAGTGGATAAAGCCTCGACTCTATCCTCCATCTTGCGGCACAAGAAAGGCCTCCAACCGCACAAGAAAATTAGTTCAGGCTCCAAGAACCACCTCAAGATTCGAGTTCTTCTTCAAGATAACTTCAAGAATACGCAAGATTCGGGTCAGAAACCCTAGATAACCGTCAAGAATCACAAGATAACCGCCACTCACTTAAACCAGGCTCTGATACCACTTGATGCAAGCAAAGTCACGCAGCTTTCACTCGATCACGAACAGGGATAAAGATGGACTCCAATAGGACAGAACTTGCTTGTGGAAAGGGGCAATTGGTATGTCAAACCAATCGGACAATCCCAACTAGAAGTAAAGGGCAATTGGAAGGGGTAGAACTCACCACAATCGAAGTGGGTATCGGATTGATAAGAGTTTGCTCTAGCTCTCTCCAGAATTCACTCAATGGAAGAAAGTAGGGCTAGAAACCTCAAAGGAGGATTCGCCAGAAGCCTTGAATAAATCAGTAGTTTGGTGATAATTGTCTAAAGGAAAAAACCAACGTGTTCAGCCCTTTAAATAGGCAAAGTACAACCCAAATCCGACTCCAACATGGAAAAACAATCATAATCCGACTTTAAAACAAGGAAACTCAGAAACAGCCCAGCAAACCCGTTAAGCCCAAACCGTTAAGTCTGGACCCGTTAAGTAGACCCGTTAAGACTGGACCCGTTAAGCAAACCCGTTAAGGCTGTTTCTTGCAATCTGCCTTCTCTTCAGCACTTCCTCCTTCTTCTTCCACGACTTGAATCATCATACACGCTTTGGACTTCAGCAACTCCACATCCATGTCTCGAAAATAGCACTCCAAATAGGTAGCAAACTTCTCTTTGAATGCCTTGGCCTTAGCTCGAGTGATTGGCCCCTTGATGTCCTCATCAGAGGGGCTTCTGGAGCTTGAAGTGCATAGTGTCGATGGATTTCGCTGTTGCGGTGGAGTTGAGCTTGTGCTTCTTCGCTTCTTCTAAGAACTGGGGAAAAACAGAGTAATTGTTGGTTAAATGGATTCTCTTTGAGATAATCGAAGGTTTTCATAAATCGCCATGATTATGTATATCACTATGAATACCACCTTAATTATGTAAAAGGTCCGTCGAGTACACTTCTACTCGCTATTGGAGAGTACAAGACTGTGTAAAAGGTCCACCGGCAGGTTCAGGAACAAGGTAGTCGCGGCCAGGCGCTGCGTGGTGGTCACGGATGACGGGCGGTGTTCGTGGATAGGGAGGAACGTTCTCCAGGGAGGGGGCAACGCGGTGGTGGCGGCGACTTTCTGTTTGGGAGTCGTCAGCTCGGCGTCGAGCGGGATTGGTGGCGGTGCATTCATGCTCGTCCGAATGGCCTCCGGCGAAGCCCAGGCCTTCGGCATGTGGGAGGTTGCTCCGATTAAAGCTTCCCATTAAGGCTCAAGAATTTGGGCTTCGATTTTGCAACAATGGGATTAAGGTTATTTTTTAATTATTATGATATTGAGGTGGAATTTTTATTAGATTAGTTTTTTTATATTTATATTTTAATTATCACATCGCCTATTTAACGGTCAACTATGAGAGTTGACCGCTTAATTAGCAAAAGTTAATGGAGACTAACGGTCAGTGACCAAACTTGGACTGCTAGCCTAATTTAAGTGACTACGGATGAAATACAGTAATTCTAGTGGCTAACGTGAACTTTACTAGTAATTCAAGTGACCAAACATGCAATTTAGCAGTCCATTGCTCTTTATGTCAATTGTGATTGAAAAAATATTGGTAGTAGCCTAAAATTGGGGAGCAGTAGTTAGAGAACGAATAGTGTGTATACTCTACCTATGCATGCATAACCCTAAATTTACCATTTATAGAGGACCACTAATTTTTCCTCAATTAAGTTTAACGGGCTATATATTTTGTTTTAATTCATAATTTAGTTTATTTGCGCACAGGTAAATCATATTTTATTTTGATATATATTGGAAAAAGAATTGTGATTTACATTACCAGTCCATAATATAGTGGTAATGTTTGTTAGTATACAAGATTATACAACGATAATATGAAAGTGTATCATGGCGGTATGAATATATCTAATTGTCATTCAACACCAATAACCACCCTATACCAGAGTGGTATATTTGATGGCCCTGTTTACTTTCATTTCCGTTTCCTGTTTTTGAGAAGACAAATGTTGAAAACAGGTGAAAACGACATTTTTTCGTTTTCGAAAACAGTAGGAAGCTGCCACTTTCTGTTTTCAGAGTTGAAAACGAATAGAAAACAGAATGAAAAGTAAACTTATTTTCTCGTTTCGTTTGCCAAATTTATGACATGAAAACAGAAAACAGGAAACGAAAATGGAAGTGAACAGGGCCTAAATGTTCATATTGTAATCCAACAAATCCCTTTGAGTTTTTTTAATTAATTTCAAAAAACGATGTCATTTATTTAGTTATAGAAACGAAATTTGATCATTCGGATTTTACCACGGATTTACTCGATTTTAACCAACTTTGATAGTTTTTACTTTTTTTCAATTTGACTACTTTGCCGATGGTTTAGCCCATTTGTATCAGATTCTAATTGAATTTGAATCTAATTTTACCTACCTGCATACCTGTAGTTTGACAAATCACAATTGACAACCATGGTGATCGGCGATCGCTGCATTATCTTTTATCACTGTGCCTCGCACAAAACGCCGATTTTTTTAAACAAGCCAAAAAAGAAAAAGAAAAAAAAAAGAGCGCGGCTCTCCCTTTTCCTCTCCTCCTCAAAGCTTCCTCCATCGCTCTACTATGGCGGACTAGTTACTCCTTGCTTCCTGTTTATCTACGGCGGACCATCCATCGCCATCCTCCTCCTGTCGATTTGCACCAGCTCCTGTGCTTTTCGCGTTTCCAAGCTCTCAATTCCACCTCCTGTCTTTTTTCAAATTCAAGTTAGCATAGAATTATTCAACTAGAAACTTCGCGTCTAACTGTGCTTTCACGGTCGAAGTTCTACGGTCCAGGAAAAGTAAGTAACCGTTGAGGTTGCTGGTTCGGCCTTGGTCAAAACTGTTTGCTTTCTCCTTTGCTCGGTTATCGAGTAGTGCGGCGTCTCTGCTGCTATTGTGAGAACTGACTAGCACTACGCCGGTAAGCTAATGGTGAGGCTGAGGAGTAGGAACGATCGTTGGGGGTAAAAACACGACAACTGTAAGTTTGTGTTGAGGTGGAGAAGGTTTTGGAGTTTGTAAGCTACTGGAATTTACTGAGAACGATTTCTTCAGGGACTGAAGAATTAGGGTTTCGGGAGGTTTGCTAGTTTATCATTTTGAGGCTGTATTGGTTAATTATGGATATTGATACAGTAGGAGGAAATGATGTTGTTAGCTATTTGGACCCTGAACTTTTGCATCTTCCCGAGGTTTCTTCATTTGAGCTCAAGCCGACTACTCAAATCGCTGAGGAATTGTTCTCTCAATGGCTCTCTCAACCTGACACTAGCCGATTGGTATATCTTTTTCATCATCTGTAGGAACTTGTTATCTGCTCCTCAAAAGTCTTATCGAACCTGTTATCATTCCTAGTGAGTAGTGAATAGTGATTCTGTGAATTGGTTCAGCCTGCTCGCCTGTGTTAATTGCAGGTAAAATCGTTGATTAGGGATGCAAAGGCTGGCCTTCCGATCAATGCTCACGGGATCTCTTCTAGTGCTGGTGCTGGAGGAGGTAGCAATTCGCTGACTAATGTCAGTCCTCCTCCACTTTCGCCAAGGAGTTCGTGTGTTTCTCCACGCACTTCAAAGCAGAAAATAAGCCCTTTCTCTCTCGCGTCTACCCGGAAGTTGGCTACTGAACCGGCCCAAGAAGCTATACCTCAGGTTTAGTGATTTCTCAGAGTTCAATCTCTTCATTTGGGATTGGCATGTATCTGTCTCCTCTGTTTTTGGAGGTAGAAATGTTCACTGACTGTTATTTATTTATTTGTTTACTGCAGTTTTATTTCCAACATGGTCGTCCACCAGCAAATGAACTCAAGGAACAGTGTCTTTCTAGAATCAATCTACTTTTCAACAATAATCTCGATGGGCTGCACATAGATGGTTAGAATTATAACCAGTTCATTATCATCATTATTGCATCTCCAATATATATATTTTCTTTGGTTTCCTAGTTGCTTTATTCTTCTTCTTCTTCTGCATCCCTTGGGATGACAAAATAGAAGTGGAACAGCTACTCCCATTTTTTTTTTCTGACTTAAAGTAATTTTATTGGTTTCCCCGGTACACAGAATTCAAACTTGTTACAAGGGAAGTTTGCAAGCTTCCATCCTTCTTTTCATCTGCACTTTTCAGGAGGATAGATGTTGAATGCTATGGGATAGTCACAAGGTAAGCACCTTTATGACTCTTAGAAGTTCAATCTTATGGCATTTCCTGTTAGGAAATAACCCCTCTCGAAGCTCTTCTGTTTGCGTGACCTCGGCAAGCAGTCGTATTTTAAGCAGTTTTGAATAATAGATGTGCTAAGTTACTCTGTCTCTCCAATGCATGTCTCTGTTAGGACCTTAGTTCCTATGTCATTTTGTTTCTACAGGGATGCATTTCTAAAATATTGGGCGGAGAGCAGTATGTTGACAATGGATATGGCTACACAAGTCTTTGAGATTTTAAAGCAGCCTAACCGACGCTACCTAACTAAGGTCTGCCCTTCGATGCACATCACTTATCCACGGAAACTGTCTCTACATTTGGCTGCTGACGGCTAATCATTTTGACGATGGCCCCTTCTTTCTTTCAAAACTATATGTGAAACTTATCTGCCAAACTTTGGTTGTGCACAGGCTGACTTCAAACCTGTTCTTGAAGAATTGCTAGCGACCCACCCAGGGTTGGAGTTCTTACAAGGGACTCCTGAGTTTCAAGAGAAATATGGTATGAACGAAAGAAACTACTCCTTGGAGGATATGCCAGTTTCCTCTAAACGATGAAACATGTTGCAGCTATGTCAGATTTTGACTGATGAGTTTTTCTGCTGATGTCTCAGCTGAAACTGTCATATACAGAATATTTTACTACATCAATAGATCTGGAAATGGCCGCCTAACCCTAAGGGAGTTGAAACGTAGCAATCTCATCTTTGTCATGCAACAAGTGGATGAAGAAGAAGAAATTAACAAAATATTAAGGTTTGTTTTTCAGCAAATATTTGTAGATTAGTTGCCTTAGCAAGGATTTGACAGTAGACCTAATTGAAGCTATTCTTTTTAACTTAATCTTGCTTGCCCCTGTTTATATATAGTTGTGTTTGCATTTCAGTCACTATGTTCATTTGACCCAGAACATGCACTAAGCGGAAAAAAATGGACGTGTAGATGATCCCGGTGCCAATTTTGTTTTCTTCAATGACAAACATGATATATTCATAGAGTTAATAGATAGTCTCTTCCAACACCGTCAGTTACCTGTGTTCTTTTCTCAGCATCTGTTGTCTTTGTTCAGGTACTTCTCTTATGAGCATTTCTACGTCATATATTGCAAATTTTGGGAGCTGGATACAGACCATGATTACTTGCTGGACCGAGAGAATCTTATCAGATATGGTAATCATTGTCTTACGTACAGGATTGTTGATAGAATATTTTCACAGGTTGGCAGCCTTGATCTATCACTTCATTGTTGTAAATCTGAATTAAATAATTTTAACACTTGGATGAAATAGTTACGCATCGGGTGACTTGTAACAAGATCCTAAATTGATCTCAGGTACCAAAGAAGTTTTCAAGCAATGTGGAAGGAAAGATGAGCTATGAAGATTTTGTTTATTTCATACTGGCAGAGGAGGATAAATCATCTGAACCTAGTCTTGAATATTGGTATGTAACTTCATCTCTTTTTTTGGGCCATTTGGTTTGGCTTACAGAACATGAGTACTCTGGCATGTTCTTCTGTCAATTGTTTTGTTGTCAGTTCTGTCCAACATTCTATCTCTGCTGGGCATATTTTCTTTGCAACCACATTTCTCATTTCTAGCATGCCCAGGTTAATGATCAGAAAATGTTCAGCTTTTTAGAAATTTAAATTTTAACAATATGTTCATGAAACTCAATGAGGTCATCATAACCTATATATAAAAAAAAAATTCGTGAAACTCTCGCTGGAAATGCTGAACATAGAAATCTCGTGCTACAATTCTGAGGTGCTTCGTTTTGTTTTGTGAAACTAGTCTCTTATTATTAGCAGTAGGCCCTTACAAATTACGAATGACAGTACTACAGTGCTTCAGTTTGTCTATGGCATTCTTTGTCTAGCAATGGCCTAAATAATGCGGACTCATGTGGTGGCCTACTTTTGATGTTATTCTATATTGAACTTGCAGCATCTCCTTTCATTTTTGCCATGTTTCTTACTTTACTGAGCTGTACGGGGCAGGTTCAAATGCATTGATTTGGATGGGAATGGAGTCCTGACTTCCAGTGAGTTGCAATACTTCTATGAGGAGCAGCTGCATCGAATGAGTTGCATGTCCCAGGAACCTGTGCTTTTTGAGGATATATTGTGTCAAATAGTTGACATGATTTCACCTGAGGTGAATTTTTCCTTCTATTACCTATTAAAAGTTCCACCATATATACTTTGGATGGTTGATTATTTCTTCGGTGAACTGAAAATGGATGTGCTGCAGAGGGAAGGTTATATCACGCTGCACGACTTGAAAAGAAGCAAACTGTCGGGAAATATCTTCAACATTCTTTTCAATCTCAACAAATTCATGGCCTTTGAAAGCCGTGACCCATTTCTCATTCACCAGGTAGGTTTGATGAATACCGCTTCTCATGGTTATTTCTACGCGCTTCATGGTGAACTGGTTGGCTTTAATGACATGCATCTGGCTGCCTTGTTTGTTACTTCAGGAACGCGAGGATCCAACTTTAACAGAATGGGATCGGTTTGCACATAGAGAATATGTCAGACTTTCAATGGAGGAGGACTCCGAGGCTGCCTCAAACGGAAATGTAGAGTCCTGGGAAGAATCTCTCGAGGCTCCGTTCTAACACCTGAGGCCAGTTCGGTTTCTCAGATGTAATTCTCCAACACAAAGAAATGAAAGGCAAGCGCTACACCATCACCTGTGGCTTTCCCAGTTCCAACCTTGAATGTGCAAGTTACTTTAGTACGTGCATACCGTGGTGAGCGAGTAGGAAGAGGTCAGGTGGTATCTTTGGGGGAGCCTTGGTGCTTAATCAATAGTTCAATACAAACTCGAGGCCTCTGATATACGTAGAGTCGAACTTGGTTTGCGCCTCTGAAGTGAGAACTCCTGCCATTTCCAGTCAACTACTGTACCTCATTCAGGCGCCACATTTTTGTTTCCAACCCCTTGGTTTCCCCCCTTTTCCCATTCTAATTATGGTTAGGTGACTGTTTATTCTCTTATTCCTGAAGTTCTGGAGACTTATTACAATAATTAGGACTTATGGTCTCCCCTCAGCCTTCCAATCTTGTTCAGTTTTGGTTCCTTTGTCAAAGACTGCCAAACCGGCCTTTGTACATCAGTCGTTCTCTTTAGTTGAGTGTTGGAAACTGGTTTTCACTTGTCTATGTAACGGCTTTGAGAACGGAAAATATCGTATTGTGGTACTGCAAAGTGGGAAGAGGTTGAAACGAAAAATATTAGTAATGTATTTTATGCTGAAATTGTGATTTAATGATAATATAATCACAGAATACGTGCTAAATACTGCCTACCGATTGTCGGTTTTAGCCTCCACTGAGATTTTGCAAAACGAACTATCGGAACGGTACAATTTTTCAATCATCGGAAAAAACACCCTACTGTGAGGATTACGTAATGGGTTGAAAATAACAAGCTAAATCCATTCCACATGATCTTTCCCTTAGCACAAGCCATGGTATCCCAATTCAATCCCAATTCAAAGTCTCAAGCAAAATTGGCAATTGCTGACTGAAACAAGACACATTGAAACGACAAGTAAACTACCGACTTAAAAAGAAAAGGTGGGATCTTCTACGCGGACTCCTTTTTGAGTTTTGCAAGTTCCTGCCTGACAAGTCCTCCCCTCTGCAAACACACGAAAAACATTCAATAAGTCGGCCACTCTGTTAACATATCACTACGCCGACAAAATCCGTGGAAGTTGGAGCTACATGGCAATGCAACTAAGATGAGATTGACTGTTTGGTTTTCTTCATGCTATTCAGGAAAAAAGGGTAACAAAGAGGGCTAACGAATACGAAGAAAGAAGTTGTGATGTATGCATACCTTGATCTTAGCCAACATGACCTTGAACCTGTCAAAATCATTGAGTGAGGCTCTCTTCTTCTGAACAATGAGCTTCCTTCCCCAGGAACTGTTCTCCCATTTGCCCTTAACATCTGAGTCACCAAGAGTTCAGTAAGAAGAAAGGTAACAGAGCATGGACATAAAAATACAATCTAAGGGGCATGGAAACGCATAAACAAGCACAAACCTGCTTTCTCCATCGCTTCAATCAGAGTCTTCTTCCTGGGAGCCCTGTTGATGTCAATCTTGATGTCAGTGAGAGTAAGCCTCTTGAAGTTCAGCTGGCTCCTCACCATATCTGGAGCATCAACCAGAGCCTGTGTATCCATTTCACCAAAATACCCAAATCCTTTGAACAACAAGGCAATCTTTACAACCCCATTTCCAACCGAGCTTAGTAAACAGTATATTTTGTAGAATGCCTTTCATTCTTCCAGTTCTACTATTCTCAACTCTGAACTTCGATAACAGCCATCGACAAAGAATTGAATCTCCTAGGAAAAGAACTGAAGCCAAACCCTAATCGCATAAAGGTACTGGAATCTAAATTCTCACAAATCACAATGTGACTATCAAGTTAGCCTCACTATAACATTTCAGGAAAAAAGAAAACTACCCTTTCATTCTCGGGAGTAATTGAAAAACTCAACAAAGAGAGAAGATAGAAAGCAATACCCTGTTTTGATCGACGACATCGACGATCACCACGAGCTTTCCGTAGTCCTTCCCGTAGTTGATTAGCGCCACCCTCCCAATCTCCACGTACCTCTTGAAACCCTACACACCATTCCAAAAAATCAGGTTTTTTGCAACAACGGCGGACCGGAGTTTCCAGTAACAGAGAAGCAAGTGATTTATCCCCAGCCAAGTTATTGCGGCGAGGAAATACTAGAGCAAGAAAGGAAAAGTCTGCTCCACAGACCAAACAAAGGAGGAAGGGAAGGAGCTCACCATTTTAGCGGATTTGCTAGGGAAATCGAAGACAGGAGGAGAGAATGGCAGGGAAGGAAAAGCAAAAGGGTTAAGGACTTAAGGAGGGAGGAGGTTAATGAATATCGGCTAGGGTTTTTGCTAGGCTGGATACCAGAGACTACTTCACCGAAACGAGCCCGGTCCAGCTTTTCCTTGTAAATTGAATACCGAGTCCAGCCCATCTCCTTATAGCTTTCGATTTTATTAAAAGGTAAATATATATACAATATATTAGTCAAATCTTAACCAGCCGCGAAATTGATCATATCAGGCTTCAGGCCACTTATTTTAAACTAGTGATGACAATGGGTCGGATCGGGGCGAGGCGGGTATCTCAATACTCATGTTTCGCCCCACGCTATTATGGGTCAGGGCGGGTAATATTCGGGTGAGTACGGGACAGGGCCGGTTGATCCACTCTTATATGTAATTTAAAAAAAATCTAAGCAAAACTTTACTTGTTATGATAAAACAAAGGGGAGAAAACTTCATGAATGAATATTAGGGACTTTTTCCAGAAATACCACTATTTAAAAAAAGAATTCCAAAAATACCACTCAACCCCAAAAAATTCCAAAAATACCACCCTTTTTCAAAAACCGCCACCCCACCCTTAGCCCAGCGGTTTGCATAGAAAACTGCACCCTGCCCAGCGGTTTTCGTGTAAACCGCAGGGTGGGGTGGCGGTTTTTGAAAGAGGGTGGTATTTTTGGAATTCTTTTTTTAAACAGTGGTACTTTTGGATTTTTTTCCGAATATTAGTGATACTATAATGGGTAACTAAGTCTATTTAGTTGAAAGATCAAATGTAACTAGTTGAAGAAAAACCAAAATAGAAGATATATGAATGGATGGCGTAAGAAATTGATCTAGAACGGCCAAGAACGGTGCAGGGCAGGGTTGGGCGGGTCGGAAGTTGATACCCATGTCCTGCCCCACGCTACTACGGGTGGGTTACCCGCACCATCAAAAGTCAGGTCAGGTAATACCCGACGGGGCGAGTTCAAATTGTCATCCCTATTTTAAACAACTTATTAGTGAAACTTTTTTGAAAAAAATTTCATAGCCAAATTGTTAACTTTCCGTCCGATAAATTGTTAGTTGACTCTATCTTTGGTAATTCACTTTTAAGAATGTTGTATATTGGGTAATTGCGATCCATCCTCAAATGGAGATCTATTACACTTCATTTTATGAATTATACAATTGATGTTATACATTCGGTTATGTTGTCTATGCCTAAAGGGCACTTCTTAATCTCTTGAGATAGAGATCTCTAGGATCACAGTGGATGCCTTTTTGGGGTTAGATATAACCTCCCCTAGTTGATTTTATACATTCGGTTATGCTGCCTATGCATAAAGGGCACTTCTTAATCTCTTGAGATAAAGATCTCTAGCATCATAGTGGATGCCTTTTTGGGGTTAGATATAACCTGCCCTAGCAAAAGTATATTGATCCGGTTTAATTGGGCCACAAAGAATCTTCACGGATGTGCAACTGACTTTGTCAGATTTTCAGGTGATGGAACTGTCTCATTTGCTTTTGGTAAAATTTATTATGGTATTACTATGAGAAAGGGTCTTACTCATAATGTTTGGTTGTTACCTCTCGAGGATATTCTCAACCGGTCATCAGGATGCTACATCGAGGAAGTCTTCCCATTCTAAAGTCATAGATATTTTAAGGGAAGTTCTTTCTCTCTTCTCGACTCCCTGTGTCAGTTTCGCGTCTTTGATCCTCGGAGCTTTCATAGAGCTGCCCACCTCGTGGCAAAAAGGCTCTTTTATCGGGAGTCCGGTTGCATACGGACTACCGTTCTTTATTTTTATAAGTTTTATATATTTGTTGTTCGGCCATGCCCTGGGGATTATCTTGGATAAAAAAAAACTGTTAGTTGACTCTAACATGGCAAATTAATTACTGAGGGGGAATGATTTTGATGACGTGGCAAGAATTTAAGTATTTAACTATGCCTCGTAAGTATTAATTAGTTTTATTTAACGGGGAGAGGGAAGGGAAATAATAATAATTTGGTAAATAAAAACATTATAAGAAATTATAAAACAAATTGTAAAAAATTATTTTCTGATGTGTACAAAAATTGCCACGTCAAAGTCAACTAACAATTGACAGGATGGAAAGTTAACACTTTGGCTATTAAGTTGTTTTAGAAAAGGTTTGACTATTAAATTGTTTAAAATGAAAGGTTTGGCTAATATATTGTATTTACCATTTATTAAAAGGGAATTTGCGACGGTGTTGAAAGCATTGTTTAACTATGATTCAATGTACATGTTGCTAAGAATCGTCTACTAGTTTAGTCTCCAATAGTAGAATTTTTCGATCGGACAATTGGTACGGTACTGTTTCACAAAGACTAGGCAATACAATAATAGGCACACCTTTGTCCCCATACCATGGGAATCTAAGCAGATAAAAAATAATCGTCTTTTCAAGCAATCGGCAAAAAGGAAAAATGAGATAAGGACAGTGGTCAACTAGAAACTGAATCATCAACAACAAAACATTTTTTGCCACAATAAAGGAATTTTTTAGGCATTGACAAAATCATTGATTTAACTTCTACCCTTTGCAGGGAGAATGTCATGGACCAAGCTCCAAATAGAAGATGAAGGCGGTGTAGTGAATCAATGTGCCTGTATTGCAAGCAATATAGTACTATGATCAGATCCGTACGAGCAACTTCACGTGCAAGATGAACAAATATGGTGCCCTAATTAGGCGAGATTCCAATAGAAGCATTCCAAAGACTGAGCAAGCCAATGGCATTAGGAAGTTAATGAAAGTCTTTCTCGAATCCCAACTCCTGCAAAGCAAACAAATAATATTGACCTACCAAGAAAACTTGAGCTCACATAAAAAGTGACTCAATCCATCTCCTTGAGGAATCTTCAAAAGCATAAAAATACAATGGGTTGTTGACGCCAGTTTTGCAAACAAGGTTAAACAATGAAAGAACTTCTAATAATCATGTGTCCTCAACCTTCAAGTTATCGTTGCTCAGAATGACATCATATCTAGCCTCAACGCAATGCCATAACACGCGTATGAATTGCTATAGCTCAACAACTTAGATGATGCACCCATCGACATCAAAGCTTCAGACAACACAAAATTTTGCTATGTCCCAGTCGAGATAGGCCCCTCCCCCCTTGACTCTATAGTACTATACATGGATAAAGATAAAGATTATTCTATCCTTTTTGGAAGATCATTCCTTGCATCCGTCGGATCATTGATCAATAATCATGCATGAAGGATTATCAACAATGCAAAGCATCTGATCCGATAGAAAATGGATCAATGTTCTTTGGTCATGAGGATCCTCTCTTGGAGAATCTTAATGTAACTCCTCTGGATCCCCAATTTCAAACTATTAGGACAATGTCAATAAAATTCTTCCGAGGGATATAGATAAGAAATTAGAAAAAGAGAACCAACTGTCACCCCTCAAAGGAACTCGAACAAATGGTGAGTAACTTTAGATGTGGACATCTTAGGCCTTCAGACAGAGCATGCGTGACTCATCCCCAAGAGTTCTTTGAACCACCTCCACCTCATGATTGAGAGGAGAATGACCTTCTAAGCCCATTGGTCTTTCCAATAGTTCACCAATGGTCATGTCTAATTCAAAGGCATAAAAGAGAGAGCGCTCCTTTGGAGGCAATCCATGTTAAATACCTAACTTAAAGAAGATAATGAGAGTACTACTGGGAGATGGCTTGAATTTCAATTCATTTGTAATTTTGGGTATTTGGTTTATCATGCATAAAGTTGATTGTTATTTTGGTTGTTTGAAATGTACTTTAAATTTTAGGTTGTAAGAAAATATGAGCAATGGAATGAGGTTTATTACTTTCGTTCTTGGCTCAATATATGATCATAAGATTTTTTAAGGTACATTTTGCTTGTGATAAAAATTGGTTTGCTTGTGCTTAGCAACCTTAGAAACCAAGAGCCAACGAACCAAACCAAAACCAACCCACCTGTTACACCCTGACTCTTTTTGAAAACCAAACCACAACTCAAACCAACAACCGGTTACTCCGGAGCAACCCAAAACGGTATACAAGTCAAAACCAAAAATCAACAACCACAATGTTTAAGATTTTCAAGTGAAATGCCCTAAACACTTGGCCGACCTCAATCCAGAGCAACAACAAAACATAAAACACAATCCTTGAGTTCCCAGTATACTCATTAAGACATGAAACTAAAGACAAAATATATGGGAGGTCCCATCTCGTTACCCAGATCCAGTTGACATCTTCAGGTTTGCTGCAGCTGCTCTCCTCAAGTAACCTCTTCTTGATGGATACGTCCTCTTCCCCTCTATGCACCTGGTGAGTGAGAAGGGGTCAGTCTCGTCGTTACCTCCTAAGGTCTTTGCCCTCGGCAAACTCCTCACTAAACACATTATTAGGGGAATGCCTTCCTAGCATGAAAGCCGTTCTCGCTTTCTGCTCTTAAATAACCATTCTAATCAACTCACAAGAGTGCTCGCCTTCTATCCTTAACTCAAACACAAAACAATAGGACCACCACGTTACGTCTCGCCGTCCGGTGTCCTACCCTAGTATGCCAACCGCGTTACGTCTCGCCGTCCGGTTGCATACCCAAACTCCGCAATGGCACTGCGTTACGTCTCGCCGTCTAGTAGTGACCCAACCGCCCGGGGGTTTCTCATACCATCGATCCATACATCATCACATACATTCATACATAGCACAACGCGTGCCTCCACCCTTACAGGCGGTGGGATGCCACACACACATATCGCGCATACTAGAAAATTAACTAAATAACAACTTGAACGAAAAGCGGAAACTAAAAGACCTATGACAGAGATTTTACCTCCTTTACACTCACCTCGAACAGATGACTCCTCAATTCCTTCCTCGAAGAAACCCTTCCTTAGCCGGATTATCTTGGGGAAACCTATTAATAAGAATCCATTTTCTTAGACGACCTTTCTTGATTTAAAATCCTTTTTGAATCACTAGGACATCCTCTCCTCAACTCCAGTCCTTGAACCTCATTCCAAAGGTCCTATAACCCGCATTAAAATTTTCTAGAATTAATCCCTTCAAAAACGACCATTTTTCTTAATTATTTAAGTCTTGAACGAATTTTTCACCTAACTAGAACCTTCTTAATAATTCGGATAATAATTTTCCCATGTCAATCAAGAACACCTATACCCTGGAAAATTATCAAACCCCTTAAAACCCCTCGGAAAGATTTTTGTTTAATTAAAAAAATATTCGAACAATTTCTGAAAATAGAAATAAATCTTCAAAAATTCCCAAATTAAATTACAATCATTTCCTTAATGTCGCTCAATTTATAAAATTGTTAGATCCAGAAAACAACCTTCAGAGAGGCTCGATACAATTTAAAACATCTAAAAATACGTTTCTGGAAATTCCCGGTAGCTTTAGTGACCACTCAAAATCTGTCACCAAAAGCATGTAAAGCCTGTTGCTAAAACCCCATAATTCTGCCCTAACGAAAAATCACCAAATCAATCGACCTAACTCAAAGGGATCGAGTTCCCTTACCTCTAGAACGTGCCTAGGACTAGATTGGATGAGTCAGGACGTTGATCTCCTCGCTGATCGATGATCGAACCCTCAACGTCACCGCTAATAAAATACGAGCTTCGGATTAGGCTATCGATAAATCGAGTTTAGAAATCGCAATGGGGTTCGTGATCCTTACCTAGAAACGCGAAAGGGATGAGATCGGAATCGGGAACAGGGGCGGCGGTGGGAGAAGGGAACCCGACGCTCGATTCCCCTTTTTTCCCCTCCTCCTTCCTCTTTGCTCGGCCTCGTGCTGTTGCTGCGTGCAGGCGCTGGCAAGGATTTTTGGCGGCGTGGTTTTTGGGAAAACCAAATTGGAAGGGCGTGGGAAAAAGAAACGAAGGGAGAGGGGAGTCTGCTGCGCCCCTTGACTTGTGAGGGTTGGGCCGCCCCCGCGGCCTCGTGTGTATATATTTTTTTAATAATTAATTTTATAATATAATATTATAATAATCATTATTATTATAATATTATTATTCTTAATCCGCGATTGTAACTCCTAGTACGTAACCGTCAATCCAACCGATCACGTATTAAAGTCGAACCTAACTCTAAGACTGACTCCAACCCTAGAGCTAAAAAGCCATTTACCCATTTTTAGCTCTTTTTTGGTGCTCCAACCCACATTATTTTGGGGAGCTAAAAATGGGTATTGGTGAATTGAGAGCCAAATTTAGCTCCCAAAAGGGTGGAAAAGCCAAATTTGGCTAGAGAAAATGGTGGACCCGCGGCGGGTCCTCCTTTATTTTTTATTTATTTCTGTGGAATTTTCTCATTGGTTGATTGTGTTGTTTTCCTTTTTTCTTTTTTTGTGTGGTATTTTGTCAATGGTTGATTGTGTATGTTGTTTTTTTAATTGTTTGTAAGAAGATATGAATTGTTGTATGTTTAATTGGTATTTTCTCATTGGTCCCGAAGTTAACGGTAACAAAATAATGACTAATTTTCCGAAATATTTTTTTTCTCGGAATTTAAAAAAAATTACATCGAAAATTTTGTTTTCAAAAGTAATAACTAAATATAGAATAATTAAAGTGAAATATGAAAATTAGAGGTCAAATAAGTATGGTTTATTGTAATAAATTGAAAAAAGGGAGATGGGAAGCGAAATTTAGCTCTGTGTAGGGTTGGAGTGAAAATGGGATTTGGGGAGCTAAAAAGCCATATTTGGCTATTTGGGGAGCCAAATTTGACTTTACGGGTTGAAGTGAGTCTTACACCACCCACCCAAAATGGTGACCAAGATGATGATTTGAACTTCTTACTTGGATGATTTGACCTTCTTACATGTGAGAATTACCAAGATGATGCTTATGCATGATTGTTTCTTGCAACAAATGGAACACACCCATATTTTAATGGCAAAATACACTTGTATAGCCAAAACTTTCGCGGTTGTGACAATAATAGCCAATTTTGGAGAAATATTACTTATATTCCGTCCTATTCTTTAACGGTGTTAACGTTAAGTCTGACTGAACAAATTAACATAAATGCTGACGTGGCGAGCACTTCTAGCCAATTTTTTCTGTAAAAATCCACATGGATTTAGGGAATGGGAAAAAGAATTAAGTGGATAAAAATTGAAAAGGCCTGGCAGCCCTTCTTCCTCCCGTCACCACTCTCCCTGCCTCCCAAGCCCATCTTCATTCGCCGGCGGTCACATCCCAACAACCTTTCAACTCCCATCTCTCCCCCAAATAAAATACACCAATTTTTTTTTTTGACAGTAAAAATCATCCTTTTATTCCACTTCAACTCGAGAGACCAATTACACTTTTCAAAGGAAATCAGAAATTAAGTCAAGAATACTAATCCAGTTAACTGGGAGCGAGGATCTAGCAAGAGAGCGAGCAACCCAATCCGCTCTAACATTAAACTTTCTTGAAACTGCCTTGACCTTCATTTGAGGGTTCGACCGAAGGATGGAGATCATTGATCCAATCCAAGCTGATCCCCGCCATGGCCAACATCGAGGATCTTGATCAAGAGCTTTCACTAACGCCTGGCAGTCAGACTGGACAACACATTCAGTGCCGTATTCTTGAGCTAATTTTAGACCTTCCAACAAAGCTTTTGTTTCAGCTTCGAGAGGGGTGGAACAAAGAAGAGTATCAGCTCGCCCATCACAAACTTGTCCATGGTGGTTAATGACCACAACACCATATGCCGCCGGCTGGGAGTCGCTTAAAAACGACCCATCACAGTGAATCACCAGATTATGATTGCTTGGCGGTGGAGAAGTGAGTGAATGGGATCCCCTGAGCTGATGAGGAGGAGGATCGATAGAGGGGCTCCTCGGGAAAGTTGTCCATTCAATGAACTCCTTGTAAGTACGCAAAATCACGTTCGGATGCCAAGGAATCCGATTCTTGAAAACACATTCATTTCTAGCCTTCCAGATATTCCAACAAAGGAATACAACATGAATAAGGGCACCTGGATGGATAGACTCCTTGATGGAGAACAACCATTCGAGGAAAGAAGAAGACTGGGACGGCAGAGGGAGGTTTGGGAAGACATTATTCCAGGATTCCCAAGCGTGGGGGCAAGAGAAGAGGCAATGAAACAGGGACTCAACGGGACACTGGCACACTTGGCAAGTAGAGCTGGGGGAGCATTTCCTATGGAAGAGTCTCTCTTTTGTTGCAAGACCGTTTTTAGCACATCTCCAAAGAAAGAACTTGAGCTTAGGGGGGATATCAAGATTCCACATCCATTTCCACATCTCAACACTACTCATAGATTGGGCCGCAGATGAAGACTTGTGGACCGAATGATAAGCCGACTTGACGGTAAAATTCCCATCCTCATTAAACCTCCAAGCCCAGAAGTCCTTTGAGTCCTCCTCCCCAATCGGGATTCTCAAGATAGCCTCCATTTCCGAGGATGAGACATGACCCTCGATTAAGTCATTATTCCATTTTCTATCTCCTGGATCAATCCAGGTATTCACTCTTGTATGATTTTGAGGCCCACTCTGAATGCTTGCCTTGTGAAGGAAAGGAACCCAAGGGTCTTGATCAATCCATGTATCCTCCCCTGTCCCAATCACTCTGATCGCTCCCAGATCAATGACTTTTTTGGATTCCCACAAGCTAGCCCAGATCCACGACGGCTTGCTTCCTTTTTTCGCCGTAAGGAAGTTGCCTCTCGGGAAGTACAATCCTTTAAGCAGCCTGCTCCACAATGCCTCAGGATTAGTAAGAAGCCTCCAGGCTTGTTTGGCAAGGAGTGCCAAGTTGAAGTCTCTAAAACTTCTGAAACCCAATCCACCTTCTGACTTAGGGGTACAGAGGATTTCCTTCTTACACCAGTGCAGGGAACTTTTTTCCATCGATCCTGACCAGAAAAAATTGCTGAGAAGAGTATCCATTTTCTTGGTGAGGGAAACTGGCAGAAGGAAGAGGCACATGATGAAGGAAGGGATGGCCTGAATAACAGACTTGAGGAGAACTTCCTTTCCTCCGTGTGAAAGAAGCAGGCTCTTCCAAGCTTCTCCCATCTTTTCCATCCTTTGAATGAGGAAATAGAAGGTTTCTTTTTTTGAATTTCCCCATTCAGTTGGGACTCCGAGATATTTTGAATGACAGTTGGACAGAGAAAAACCAATGTGATTGATGATGTCATTTTTCTCTTCCGCTGGAACATTAGCGCTAAAGAAGACAGAAGATTTGTTAATGTTGACTTCCTGGCCAGTGATTGACCCATAATCATTGATAATCTCTAGAATTCTTTCCGCCTCTTGGATGCTGGCTTTCCCAAAGATAACTGTGTCATCAGCGAAAAGGCAGTGAGTGAGAGAGGGGCATCTCATATTGAGCTTAATTCCTTTGATACGATCTTCTGCTACTGCTTTGTCAATAAGGAAAGTGAGGGCATTAGACATTAAGATGAAAAGAAAAGGGGAAAGAGGATCTCCTTGTCTAATGCCCCTTGAGGGACAGAAGCTTTCTGACGCTTCTCCGTTGAACAGTACCGAGAAACTGACCGACCGTATACATGTGCTAACCCATTTGCACCACTTCTCATCGAACCCATATCTTCTTATGAGAGTCTCAAGACACTCCCAATCAACCATGTCATAAGCCTTCTTCATATCAAGTTTGAGCATCATATCTCTTCTGTTGCCGATTTTGTGGTTCTTGAAATGATGAAGAACTTCATGGACAATAATGATATTGTCTTGGATGAGGCGACCGCCTGTGAATGCTGTCTGAAGCTCTGAGACCAGAGATGGAGTCCATTTTTTAAGACGGGTAGCCATGATTTTCGATATGATTTTATATCTGAAATTGCAACAGCTAATGGGTCGAAACTGGCCAATCATTTCCGGATGGTCAACCTTTGGTACCATTGCAATGTGAGTTTCATTCCATCCTTCGGGCATTGTTGATGTCTCAAAGAAATCCTTAACTTCTCTGCAAAGAGTTTCACCAACCTTGTCCCAATACCTCCTGTAGAATTTTCCTGAGAACCCATCTGGACCCGGAGCTTTCCTGGCGCCAAGCGAGAATACTGCTTTCCTGATTTCCTCATTGCTAACTGCAGCACAGAGATCCTCATTCATCTCTTCAGTTACCATCGTTGGAAACCCTTGGAGGAGGTGGGTAAAGGAAGTAGTAGGCCTTGCTTTGAACAGCTCTTTGTAGAATCCAACTGACATGTCCTTTAACCTTGACTCATCTTCCACCCAATTCCCCATCTCATCTTTAAGCCGAAGGACTCTATTTTTATGTTTCCTATTGATAGTGCTTGAGTGGAAGAAGGAAGTGTTTTGGTCACCTTTTTGTAGCCATTTGACTCTAGAGCATTGACTCCAAAAAGCTTCCTCCTCTAGCCATAATCTGGTGAGTTCTGCAGTAAGGCTCTTTTCTTCCTCGACATTTTCGATCATCCGAGGAGGTTGTTGGAGAATCTCAAGTCTGGCAACAATTTCATTCTCCCTAAGAATGCTGTTCTTATGGAAGTCTTTTGACCAAGCTTTCAATTCTCTCTCACATTTTCTCAGCTGATTACTAGAAGATCCACCTGGGTCCCATTCTCTGCCCACAATCTCCTTGCATCCCTCTTTCTCTAGCCATCTTTCATCCACTCTAAACGGTGTTCTTCTTCTCCTGTTACCCAAACAGTGAAGGTCAATTCTTAGCGGACAATGATCTGAATCCACCATTTTTTCATGAAATACCACCGCCTTTCCATACTCTGCTCTCCAAGATGGCGAACACAACACCCTATCCAGTCTCACTCTGACCAAATTTGGACCAGTTCGTTTGTTTGACCAAGTGAAGGGGTCGCCTTTGAAGCCGATATCAATTAGTGCATTTTCAAAAATGAACCTTTTGAAAGGTTCGAC